CACTAGAAAAAATATAGGCTCGAAGAACCCAACTCCTTTTTTTTTGGAAAATTAAAAAAAAATTTGAGAATCGAGATGTATCTTTATTTTTCTTTTGATTGTGATCTTTTTGAAACAATTATTACATCATGTTTATGTGGCAGGAAATTTGCAATTTATTAAATCTCTGTGATATCACAACGAAAAAAGATAACAAAGTTGTTATTGCACGTAATATCATGTAAGTGGTGTTTTTGTATTGATTTGCTCGATATTAAATGATGTAATACCTCTGTTGAATAATGTCATTGCTTTTCTTGGCAGGTATGTTGTGGGATACTATGCTCGGTTTTTAAGAGCTCATTGGAAGTTTCTAGAAACTGTTAATTTGTTGTTTGAGTTTATGCATGAGACTCATCCTGGAGTTCAGGTTATGTTTTCGTTTTATTATGTCATAATCTTTGTTTATGTCCTTGTGCGTGTGCCCGTGTTTGTGTGCTCTGCGTGCTCATTTCTTTGTGCTCCGTGTCTGTACTCTGTGTTGTGTGTCTTTGTTTGCCTTTGAGTCCTTGTGTGCATGTTGTGTTTTGTATGTGTTTCTATGTGCGTGTATCTGTCTTTTTTGTGTTCATAGGTGGCATCCGTTTAGTTTGGGAACCCTACTAATATTCTTGAGGCATATTTCATATGGTTCAAGTGAGGAACAAGTAAGTCTTTGTATTATGACAAAACTGAATCCTAACATACTACTAAGTTACTTGTGAAGCATCTCTGACAAAATTTCCCCCTTGTTTAGGCTATAGTACAGAATTTTGCACTATTCTTCACCTCATTTTACAAGGCAAGTTTGTTTTCTCAGCTTTATGTGTATCTGTGATTGTATGTTGCAAGTATATATTCATTAAATGTCATGGGATCAGGTTAAATAATTTGTCCTACTTTTTGGGATTTTTTTTACCTTGCGTATGTGTACCATATCATGCGTGTGACATGTTTGAGAATGGACCCACCTTTCTATATATTGAAATGCCATGTGAATTAGTTTTTTTTCACATCTGTCTAGCACCTCTTCCTCTGTTTTTTGCTCCTAAAGTTTTAGTTTGCTTGATTAGTGCTAAAGTCTGTTAACATCTTTAGTGGTGTTGTGATACCCTTATGTTATGATTATGATTCATGATTGCTGAAACTTGTGTTTTCAAAGTGTGATAAATGATAGTATACATAGTTAATACATATAAAAATATCACTAAAATCCAATTAAAAATTTATTTTATAGGTAATTGTATTTTGTTTTATTAAAAGGCACTTTAAAGAAGATATAGCCTCGAAGAACCCAACTCCTTTGTTTTTGGTAAATTAAAAAAAAAAATTGAGAACCGAGATGTATCTTTATTTTTCTTTTGGTTGTGATTTTTTTTGAAACCAATATTACTCACATCATGTTTATGTGGCAAGAAATTTGTGATTTATTAAATCTCTATGAAATCACAATGAAAAAAGATAACAAAGTTGTAATTGCATGTAATATCTTGTAAGGGGTGTTTTTGTATTGATTTGCTCGATGTTAAATGATGTAATACCTCTGTTGAATAATATGTCATTGCTTCTGTTGGCAGGTATGTTGTGGGACATTATCCTCGGTTTTTAAGTGCTCATTGGAAGTTTCTAGAAACTGTTGTGAATTTGTTGTTTGAGTTTATGCATGAGACTCATCCTGCAGTTCAGGTTATGTTTTCTTACTATGTTTTCTGTCCTACCTTTTTTTATATCCTAAGCTTTGTTGATGTCCCTATGCTTGTGCCTTTGTTTGTGTGCTCTACTTGCTCATTTCTGTGTGCTCTGTGTCTGTACTCTGTGCTGTGTGTCTTGTCCTTGTGCGTGTGCCTCTGTTTGTGTGCTCTGGGTGCTCATTTCTGTGTGCTCTGTGTCTGTACTCTCTATTGTGTGTCTTTGTTTGCCATTGAGTCCTTGTGTGCATGTTGTGTTTTGTATGTGTTTCTATGTGCGTGTCTATGTCTTTTTTGTGTTCACAGGTGGCAACCCTTCAGTTTGGGAACAATACTAATATTCTTGAGGCATATTCATATGGTTCAGTTGAGGAACAAGTAAGTCTTTGTATTGTGGAAAAACTGAATCCTCACATACTACTAAGTTACTTGTGAAGCATCTCTGACAAAATTTCTCCCTTGTTTAGGCTATCATACAGAATTTTGCACTGTTCTTCTCCTCATTTTACAAGGCAGGTTTGTTTTCTCATCTTTATGTCTGTCTATATATTCATTAAATGTCATGGGATCAGGTGAAATAATGTGTCCTAGTTTTGGGATTTTTTATGCCTTGTGTATATGTATCATACCATGTGTGTGGCATGTTTGAGAATGGACCCACCTTTCTATATAATTAATTGCAATGTCAATTAGTTTTTTTTCACATCCGTGTAAAACCTCTTCCTCTATTTTTTGCTCATAGTTTTTCAGTTTGCTTGATTAGTGTTCAAGTCTGTTAACATCTTTAGTGGTGTGGTGATAGATGATACCAAGGATTTTAAGGTATGTTGATGTTGACATTCATGTCTTATGGTTGTCTATTTCTTATGTTATGATTATGATTTATGATTGCTGAAACTTGTGTTTTCAAAGTGTGATAAATGATACTATACATAGCTAATACATATAAAAATATCTATACATAGCTAATACATATAAAAATATCTCTTGTTTTTGGAAAATTAAAAAAAAATTGAGAACCAAGATGTATCTTTGTTTTTTGTTGTTGTTATTTTTATTTGAAACAATTACTACTCACATCATGTTTATGTGGCAGGAAATTTGCGATTTATTAAATCTCTGTGAAATCACAACGGGAAATGATAACAAAGTTGTTATTGCACGTAATATCATGTAAGGCATGTTTTTGTATTGATTTGCTTGATGTTAAATGATGTAATACCTCTGTTGAATAATATGCCAATTCTTCTGTTGGCAGGTATGTGTTGGGACACTATCCTCGATTTTTAAGAGCTCATTGGAAGTTTCTAAAAATTGTTGTGAATTATTTGTTTGAGTTTATGCATGAGACTCATCCTGGAGTTCAGGTTATGTTTTCTTCCTATGTTTTCTGTCCTACCTTTTCTTATATCATAAGCTTTGTTTATGTCCCTGTGCGTGTGCCTCTAGTTGTGTGCTCTGCGTGTTCATTTATGTGTGCTCTGTGCTTGTACTTTGTGTTGTGTGTCTTTGTTTTCCTTTTTGTCCTTGTGTGCATGTTTTGTTTTGTATGTGTTTCTATGTGCGTGTATCTGTCTTTTTGGAGTTCACAGGTGGCAGCCCTTCAGTCTGGTACCACTACTAATATTCTTGAGGCATATTCATATGGTTCAAGTGAGGAACAAGTAAGTAATTGTATTATGGCAAAACTGAATCGTCACATACTACTAAGTTACTTGTGAAGCATCTCTGACAAAATTTCCCCCTTGTTTAGGCTATCATACAGAATTTTGCACTATTTTTCACCTCATTTTACAAGGCAGGTTTGTTTTCTCGGCTTTATGTCTATCTGTGATTGTATGTTGCAAGTATATATTCATTAAATGTCATGGGATCAGGTGAAATAATGTGTCTTAGTTTTGGGATTTTTTATGCCTTGTGTATGTGTACCATATCATGCATGTGGGATGCTTGAGAATAGACCCACCTTTCTATATACTGAATTGCAATGTCAATTAGTTTTTTTTCACATCCGTGTAGCACCCCTTCCTCTGTTTTTGTTCATAGTTTTTCAGTTTGCTTGATTAGTGTTCAAGTCTGTTAACATCTTTAGTGGTGTGGTGATACCCTTCTATATATGCAGGTTCACATTTGAATTCTGGAATCCAGTAAAGAGAATACATCTGCTTTGCTTTTGTGTCTTGAATATCTTATCAACCTCTCATATGTAGATGATACCGAGGATTTTAAGGTATGATGATGTTGACATTCATGTCTAATAGTTGTCTATTTCATATGTTATGATTATGATTGATGATTGCTGAAACTTGTGTTTTCAAAGTGTGATAAATGATAGTATACATAGCTAATACATATAAAAATATCACTAAAATCCAGTTAAAAATTTATTTTATAGGTAATTGTATTTTGTTTTAATAAAAGGCACACTAGAGAACATATAGGCTCGAAGAACCCAACTCTTTTGTTTTTGGAAAATTTTAAAAAAAAATTGAGAGCCGAGATGTATCTTTGTTTTTCTTTTGATTGTGTTTTTTTTTTTAAATAATTATTACTCACATCATGCTTATGTGACAGGAAATTTGCGATTTATTAAATCTCTGTGAAATCACAATGGGAAAAGA